TCCAACGGCTACGTTATCTTGTGCTTCGAGCTGTCCACCTCTTGTATCATTTTTCAGCTTCTAAAACCTCTATAAATACCAAGGGAATGTCTAAGAATTAGATACACATCATTTTGAGAGACATTACATTGCAAATAGAGCTTTTGTTCTCATTTTCTCTCTCATTTCATTCTTCTATTAATCTTGAAATATTAAACTAAGGATTCAAAGGGCTTTTGCTCTAGTTCTAATCCTCAAAAAGGTTTTGCTTTATTCTTCACTTGAGAGATCTTTTTTAGTTCATAAGAGTTTTTAATCTTCATTTAAATCATCTTCTCTCATTCATATTTTTCATAAAGCATTGAGCTTCATTTACATTCATATATACTCTAGTTGTAAGCTTTGATTTGCATATCAATCTTTGAGAGATATATTTGTATGCAACAAATTTGATATTCATTTGTAAGGGCTTGTGTGGCTCAAGGAAGAAGAAGCAAGCTAGCTTCAATTTGTAAGGGTTGGTGTGACCCAAAAGAAGACTAAGAGAGGTTGTCTCTTAGCAAGGTGAAGCAAGGAGTTACTTCATGTTAAGGTTTGCTCTCCACCCGTAAGGAGAAGCCATAATGGATTGGGAAGTCTCAAGAGGGATCTTGAGCCGAGGAGTAGGAGTTTCCGAACCTCGCTAAAATCGTCGAGTCATTCTTTGCAATTTCTCTTCCCTTATCTCTTTTATAATTATGCTATAAATTGCTTACTTTTATATCTTGATCTCATATCTTGATTATTGCATAATTATTAAATTGTTGAATATAAATTGTAATTCTTTAAATTGCAAAAATTGGCCATTGACTCTATTCACCCCCCCCCCCCCCCCTTTAGAATCAATTCTTGGGTAATAAGGCTCCTCCTTATTGTTTTTCTCCTTTTTGATAAAAACTAAAGTCATGGTGGTCCCGATATGCGGTGCCTTATCACGTACACCTACATCCTTCCTTGGCTTATACTTTAAAATAGCGCCAACCGAAACTAAACTTTCGATCCCTAATTCTACCTTTTGGCAAAGAAATCGGTAACGTACTCCTTTACTTCTTTGGGTCTTTATTGCTTTCCTCCTAGTGCCAACCATTCTGTGACTGCAGAATATAATTGACACCAGCTCCTCCTAGTGAACCATAAATAGAGTACAACGAATCCTATTATGGGCTTTAAGTTTTAGGAGACGCAACGCAGAAGTCACATAACGAAAGACACTTGAACCTGGAGTGCTCTGATACCAACTGTGATACCCCTGGATTTTCGAATGCGGGTTGGCCAGGTCCACACCCGAATACCCGAGGATATAAAAAACAAATAGGCAATAAACGAACATAGAGTACAAAAGACTAAATAAGAATAAATACATTGCTAAAAAGAAACTAAAATAATAATCCAATAATTAATCATCAGAATAAATTTTCATTGATTAATAAATCCTTCTGATACAATTAATCTTCCAAAAATAATACAACTTGGAAATTCGGGGGTATCACATCAATAATTCAACAAATGAATAGTTTGAAGAAGCCTTGTCTAGAGTAATTGAAAATAGTTTTTTTTATTCCCCCATTCAGCTAGCAATGTATAAATCTTTTCTATTAAAGCAATACCATTATATTGAAATGGCATGTAAGAGAAGTTCAAAATTCTTTTTTGTAAGCACCAATCCACATCAATTAAGTGTGCAGTAAGAGATAAGTACCCATCAGTAGTCAGAGAAGACCACAAATCAGATATTAGAGAAATCTTACCATTTGTTTATTCCAACATATGTCGAACCCTACCCTTTTTATTTTTATGCATCCTTAATATGTTAGCCTTGGCTGTGTTCTTACTTACGGGCTGAGCCTCCCCACATAAATAACAACATATAGTCCTAATGCCATCATATTCAACAAATTGAAAGGGTAGATCATGCATAATGATAGCAGCACTCATTGACTCACAAAATATATTAAAATCAAACTTAGAAGCACGCATAGATATGGATCTAGAGGGCTGAGATAAAAGCAACTGACCTATGTCCCGTATATCCCTCCTGACACACAAATCTATATGTCGCTTTAAATTACCAGTGCCATACCTGCCCTCAGCAATATACCCAGTCCCACACTTCTTGCATCTGCATCTTCTCTTCTTGTAATGATTGATAAGCGCTGAATAGTGCATATTTGAGCCCTTAAATATACTTATGTTAAGACCTAAAGTTATACTTCTATCTACTATTAGACTGATTTATGTTTATTGTGTGTTTATAGGTACTTTCCCAAATGAACTATTAAAACCAGGACTTTATGATGAAAATACTGATATCGAAGCTTACAGAGTAGTTGCCGGTCATTCAAAGCAAGCCAAGAGCTTAAATGGTGAAGTTTGGAAGAATTCAAGTACCAAAGCTCGAGCCTAAGTTTTGAGGCTCGAGCCCTAAAAGAAAAAGAAGAAAATCAACAAGGCATTAAAGCTCGAGCCTTATACCTTCAGAGCTCGAGCCCTACTCAGTGGTGCTCGAGCCTTACCTCAGGGTGCTCGAGCCTTGTTCCTCAAGCTCAAGCATAAGGCGTCGAAATTTGAAGAGTTGATTTTAAAGGAAAACTAATCTTCCAGGGCCTCGTGCCAAACCTCAAAGATCGAGCACCATCATTCAAAGCTCGAGCCTTGAGTGCCTAAAGCTCGAGCTTGGTACTTAAAACTTGAGCCCTATGAAGCTTGGATCGAGTAATGTTAAAAGAAGAGAACCCCAAAATATTCTAAGTGTTAAAGGAAAAGATGTTTCAAAAAAAATAAGTACGAAAGTGAAGATCGAGCACCATCTTTTGAAGGTCGAGCAATAATTCAAGGAAGCTCGAGCTTTGTTCCCAAAGCTCGAGCCTTACTTCTTAAGTTCAAGCCTTCAAGGATAGATCAGATTTAAAGTTACATGGATTATTTTTTTCCAAGTCGTATTTCACTCCAGATGGGCTAGAAGACCTAAAAGCCCACCAAACCTTTATTTTCTTCTATAAAAGAAGGCACAGGCCTTGATAGAAAAAGTCTCTTTTTCTCATATTATTCATAAGGTTGATACGGTGGTGGCGGCTTTTAGGGTTTCCATAACCTTAGAATGTGAAGATCTTGAGAAGAAAAGTGACGTCCGTGACGATGAAAATGACCATAATATAGATGATATTCGGCATCGTTATGAGTAACTAATTCCTCTCTTAGGGCACTGATGTAACCCAATCTAAGTACCATGTTTTGATTGTTTTAACTCTGGGATATTTTTAATATATATTATGTTTATGATTATATGACTATGAGCAATTGAGACAACTCAATTGGATTTTAATGTTTTAAATAGTTTTTGAATTGTTATTACCATGTCTTAGATATAACTGTTCGTAATCTATTCTCAACCTATTCTTATTGGATGGTATCTGGCGGAGCTCTGCCGGACATAAGAATGGAGGTCATGTAATGGTATTCTAATGTTTTTTATAACTGAATGTTTTCATAGTCTATGCTTAGGAAAGATGGATTGTTTACAAAATTAGTTAAAGTAGTTAGAGTAGGTAGGTAGATAGTCCATGCTAACCGCAGATAGGTTATACTTAACTGTAATTTATAAAACATCTTTCTTTAAAAAACCGAATTGAACGAATGTTATTAAGTTCAATTCATTTGAAATATAATTTGTTAAATCCCCAGAGTTGAAATACTTAACCATAGTATGAAGGTTGTGGTGAAGTCAAAGTCCTAAGACCTCTCTCTCTGTGATCACTTTAGTTTAATTTTCGTTTAATTTAAGTTTATAATCGTGACAACCAATTAATCAATTCAACCAGTTACCTTTAAACCAAGAAAAATTAGTTAAAAGCAAAACGAAGTACATTTATCTCCCTGTGGGTTCGACACCCTCTCTATAGTACTATCCTACAAAGATTCATGTTATTGCGAGTGGTTATTTATTATTGAAGTAAAAACTGATACAACGGTGATCTTGGTCACTCGAAGTGTTATGTGGATTTGAGAGATTAATTTGAGAGAGAAAAGGAGTTGTCTGGTTACTGGTTAGGGACTCAGAGAGAGAAAAGAAAGGGGAAAGAGGAGAGAGAGACTGAAGAGATGTGAAGAGAATATATGAATAAGAGGCACTGCGTAATGACTAAAGTGTATAGTGTGTATAATAGGGTTTCTTATGTAAACATGAAATTACCAAAATATCCCCTACTAATCAGGTCAAAAAAGGTAATGAGTTAGACAGGTTCATGGATGACACATTTAATTAAACAAGCTACATGAGTTGAGCCCCAAAACCCGAACACGACACGTTTAACTTGTTGACCCGTTTACGACACGAACTCGTTTATGGTAAACCCATTACCCATTTAACTCATGTCGTGTACGTGTCATGTTGGCGAGTCGTGTCATACTTTGTCACCTCTAAAATCAATCTAAAACTGGATAAAAGTATCACTTAGGGTCTTAACATACGCATGTTTAGGGGCTCGAATATGCAATATTCAGAGTTCATTACGCTCCGTCTAGGTCGAATTAGCCCCGGACTCGCAAAATACGGTTCTTTTCATAAAACCACTTTTTCGTAACCCTTCCCAAACACATCCTTTATAACCACTTCAAGCTCAATCCCTCAACCATGCTCATGCCATGAATGAAATCATGCATTCTAGAAGTCAATAATCTCATACTTTGCAATTTCTAACAATTTAAAGAACATGCTCATCATCATCATGATTTTATGTGTGTGTGTATATATATATATATATATATACATATATATTCATGAAACAAGTCACATATATAATCATGCTTTCCAATATCTTAGCAACCAAAACATATATGTGATAACATCATCTTTGAACATACTTCTCACATATAGCACACAAACAATATTTCACTTCAAATTCAATATTTAAAACAAGTACAACATGGGATCAAGAAGAAGAAACTCAAAAAGCAACAAAGCATGGTACTTTAAACATCCCTACCTCAAATGATGAAACCCAAGTTTCTAGATTCAAACCCGAAATTCACCCCATGATAGCAAGACCAGTATCAAAAGGTAGCCCTTGACTAGCTCTCCAACTTTCCTTACGGCCAAGCAAATCTTACTCCACCATGATAGATCTTAGAGAGAAAAAGGTGATATAGGGAGAAAAAGAAAAATGGAGAAAGAGAGGAAAATGGGTCCGAGAAGAGAGAGTGAGTAATGCAATTGTGGTCCAAAGCTTAACTCTAGTCCTTCAAAATGAGTGGTCCAAATTTGGTCATCCTCCTTTGACCTTCCAAATTACCAAAGTAACCTCCCTTATCCCACTAACTACACCTATGCCATAAAATATTATCCGCCACCCACTAGTAACATGTACACATATTTATGTGTATATAACACATCATTACTCAATTAAATAAATTCATGGTGATGGAAAATAATATCAAATCAAGGTGCCGAAAATAAATATCAAAAATTTGAAAAAATTCGGGACATTACAAAATACCCTTTAATGATCACGTTTACAAGCGGAGATAAAATTGAGGTGAATATCTAGAACATATCTGACATCTCTGATAACCAACCGGCAACTAACACTGGTTTCCAAGCAAACATCTCTCATGCCCACAATCTTGGATGCACCATCGTTTCCCATTCTAACATAGCCAAAGTCACCACTAGTATAGGATGTGAAGAATTTATTACGTAAATTAACATGGAATGAAGCACCTGGATCAATCACCCAATTACTGTCTTGACAGGTAGATTAATATACCATAATCATTGAAAATGATCGCCTCAACATAAGTTGTAGAGCAGTGGTATCTTTTTATTTCCCTTTTCATTAACTCTTTCTTTAGATTGTTCCCTTTTCAATTTTCTACAGTCTCTTTTCATATGCCCTGGCTTCTTGTAGTGATAACACATTATATCCATTTGAATTTGGATCTCCCTAAATGTGTTATTCCTGTCATTATTGCGAGAATTTCTATTTTAGCTTCTTCCCCTCCTTTCTTGATTTTCGGTAAGAAGTGCCTTAGTTTGAGAAGGTGTACCCATTTCCTTTCTTTTGGCTTCTTCATTGAGCATACTATCCTTAACCGTATCCATGGTTAGTTTTCCATTAAGAGTTGAACTGCTTAGGGATACCACCAGTGTTTCCCAGTGTTTCCCAACCATCTGGAAAAGAGCTGAGGGGTAAATTAAAGAAACTGTAACTCATCATCCAACTGGTTCACTAAACCCTGAAAAACACTCGAGTGCTCAGTTACACTGCTTCCATCCTTGTATTTCAAATTAACAAGCCTTCTAATCGTTGAAACTTTGTTCTGAGCTCTGTCGCTCATACATAGACTCTTAACTTTCCAAAGAACATCAGCTTTAGTTTCCTTGGCAACATGATGGAACACAATCTGATTAACCCATTGTCTAATATGGAAAACAGTTTTTCTATGCATCAATTCTCATTCCTTATCGGACTTGGTAGTCGGATTTGCCTCATCACCTAAAATGGGCTCATGTAAATCTTTGCAATAAAGGCGTTTTTCATTCTAGACTTCCAAATTGAATAATTTGAAAAAGTCAATTTTATCATGCCAACCGAATTATCCTCCATTTTAATTCACACAAGAAATAATACCCACACCAACCAATGCTCTTATACCACTTGTTGGGAAGAAAAAACAAGGGACATAACAAGAACATGTAGAAATAACCTTTTTCCATCTTTGTATGATTAAAATATGATGTGTACTCCAACCAATTAAGCACAAGCAAATAAATAATAATAATCGTTCACAAGAGTGACACCAAAATATACGTGGATAAAACCTGCAAAAGGGAGAAAAAAAAAAAAAAAAAATCCACAAGAACTGGAGTCCTATTTCAACTTCCTGTTGGGAAACGTGCAAGATTTTAAAACTTTTTAGGGATTTGCAATTACAGATCTTGATTCATCATACAGAGACAAGTTTTATGCAAAGATTAATAAAAGATGATGCATAATTCAATAAACAGATTAAATACTTACATCAAAGGTCTGAGTAAACCTTTTGAACTTTCCTCTAAAGTGAATGTTCTCACTTATTGTAGATCCCTTTAGCAAGATCTTTTCTCCTTCCGTTAGATTATTATCTTCCCTTTAGGAATCACCAATATGCCTTGATGAATGACCTTGGAATCTAAGCTGGTGGTAGCCTCCTTTAGAAGAGAAAACAAAACTCTAAAATCTAGAGAGAGAAAGTGTATTCATTTTTCTTGTTCTCCAAGTCACCCCTAAAATATACATGAACTCATGTATATATAGGCAAAATAAAAATAAGAATAAGGAAACAATAAATCATTCTCCATCTCTAATTCAACTTTCTCAATCCTAACATGACTCCAATATCAACTTGGGCTATTGGTGAGAATCCTTTTGGGCTTACTATTTTCTTGGCTCCTATAAATTAATAATTGGTCCGGTCCATTAAACCATGGACCCAATTCAATTAATTAATAAATTAATTTCTACTCCACTAAAAGAAATTAATTGCACTCCAATTAAATAGTAAATAACCTCTAAGTCAATGTTGCATTTTGACCCCTCTATACTTAATTATTTATCGGATAATTAAAGCCATCAATCCGACAACATAATTAATATAACTATTTTGTTACCTTTGATTATTTCCGGCTCGATCACAATAAAAAATTTATTTGACAAAAAATAATAATAATTTATTAAATAAATATATATAGAAAACATTTGTCTAAAACATACGAAAGCCTTCGAATTTAATTTGTGATCAACCATAATCAAAACAAAATAAATACAAATAGCACTGATGCAAATCTTGAGAATATAGACCTCTAATTATTAATTACATAACTACCCAAAGTGTCGATCTAAGGATCCCGAGGTATCTGCCGAACAAATCAAAGTAATTATTAATTAATAAAAGAGTCTATACTTCTCTCATGTTTGAGAGTCAAAAGCCATGACTGTGATAGAGAACAATTGCATACGACAGCTCTCGCAATATATCTCAATCTATCATGGACTCGGTTTAAGTCTTAACTAATTAAATGTCCATCCATAATTACCGACTTTAAACCATTTATGATTACTAATTTATATCATAGTATTAATTGCCATTACATACATAGATAAATATATTTTGTAATCAAGCAGACACCATCAATTCCATAAAGAATCGAAAAATAATACATTCCATTCACCAATTGTATAATGCTTTAATAATAATATCCAAATAAGAAACCATGACTTTTACAATCCAAAATTAGAATTTGCTATGCTAGGGCACACATATCCTAACAGCTCCCACTTGCACTTATAGCCAATTCAAATCACATCTAACTCCCATGTTCTCCATATGACGATCAAACATCTTGATCGGTAAAGCCTTTGTGAATGGATCAGCAAGGTTATGTTCCGATGCAATCTTAGCCACAAGTATATCTCCTCGCTTTACTATATCACGAACCACATGATGTTTCCTCTGAATGTGTCTTGTTCCTTTATGAAATTTTGGGTCCTTGGTTTGGGCTATAGCTGCACTATTGTCGCAATGAAGCGTTATAGGCCGATCTATGTGCTCCACAACCTCTAGTTCAATTAGAAAGTTTCTCAACCAAACAACTTCTTTTGCTGCCTCAGAGGCTGCAATGTATTCTGCTTCCATGGTTGAGTCAGCAGTACAACCCTGCTTGACACTCTTCCAACTAACTGCCCCTCCATTGAACTTGAACACATATCCAGATGTAGATCTCCTGGCATCAGGATCTGATTGAAAATTAGAATTCGTATATCCGACTGGAACCAGATCATCACTTCCATAAATGAGCATTAGATTCTTAGTTCTTCTAAGGTATTTTAAGATATTCTTCACAGCTGACCAATGATCAAGTCCAGGATTGGATTGATATCTACTAACAATCCCTACAGAGTAGCAGATGTCCGGTCTGGTACAGACCATGGCATACATGAGACTACCAACTGCCGAAGCGTATGGTACCCGCCTCATTTGCTCAATTTCCTTATCAGTCTTGGGAGACTGGTCATTAGAAAGAGCCAACCCACGTCTAAATGGCAAAAACCCTTTCTTAGAGTTTTCCATTCCAAACCTGATCAGAACTTTGTCAATGTAAGACTCTTGAGACAAGCCTATTTGTTTTTTAACCCGATCTCGCATAAGCTTGATCCCAAGAATATAGCTTGCTTCTCCAAGATCTTTCATCTCAAATTTATTGAACAACCACCTTTTAACTGATGACAATGCTTCTACATCATTACCAATGAGCAAGATGTCATCAACATATAAAACGAGAATCATGATGACATTACCCTATTTTTTCTTGTAAACGCAAGGTTCAAACACGTTTTGTTCAAAGCCAAATAATTTGACTGCCTGATCAAAACAAATGTTCCATGTGCGTGAAGCTTGCTTAAGTCCATAAATAGACCTATTCAACTTACATACACAATCCTCACGACCTTTAACTACGAAACCGTCTGGTTGCCTCATGTAGATGTCTTGTTCAAGATGGCTATTTAAAAATGCCGTCTTAACATCCATCTGCCATATCTTATAGTCATAATAAGCACTAATGGCCAAAAGAATGTGAATAGATTTAAGCATTGCAACTGGTGAGAATGTATCCTCATAATCAATACCTTCACGTTGAGTGAAGCCTTTGGCAATCAGTCTAGCTTTGAATGTCTCAACATTCCCATCCATTCCTCTCTTTCGTTTGTAGATCCACTTACAACCAATGGGCTGAACCCCACTAGGAAGTTCTATAACATCCCAGACATTGTTAGAATACATCGATTCCAACTTTGATTTCATGGCATCTTTCCAACGATTCGCATCTATATCGGTCAACGCTTCCGCATAGCTTACTGGGTCCGACTCATGCTTATCGGGGATGGCCTCATAGACCTCACCCAAAAGTGTGAGTTTTTCAGGTTGGATGATAGTCCTCCCACTACGCCGAAGGACCGGTGCAGGAATCGATGTACTAGATGATGGTAATTCAACAGAGACTTCTTATGTCTCATCATTCTCAGTATTTATATTAGGTGTGTCCACTGGGGGTATATCTGACGTGCCAACCATCTCCTCTAACACTATCTGGCTACTAGGTTTGTAGTTCATAATATAATCCTCCTCTAGGTAAATAGCATGAGTGCTGACAATAACTTTATTGTCCCTGGGATCATAAAATAATCCACCTCT